AAAAATCTTCTGAAAGAATTATTTTTAGACAGTAATCATTCAGGTCTGAAGGGTGTCTGGAAGGCTGGTGGTGGAGCTCAGAGAAGTCTTCTGGGAGTAGAGCGGGGGCCACTCAGTGTCTGGAAGGACCAGTGGCTTGAAGGGCAGAAGTCCCAACATGAGCATGGGCCTCATTGCTGTTTATTCATCTCTGTCCTCTGCACCTGGTTCCACGTCATGCATGTACACTGCTCATTCAAAGGGATCTGAAGGTAACTGAGGAACTGCAACTTGCCGTTTCACAGTTCCCTAAACCTCCAACCTGAGCATCGAAGGAGGAATTAAATATGAAGAGCAAAGTCTCTTGTTTGGGTGGGAGAGGTTGGAGATTTTAGGTCCCCAAGGACTGGGCTTCCTTGGGGAGTTCAGTTTTTTAAGCTATCCATTTTTCGCCATGGCAGGATCTTGGTGACACGAATGAAGAAGCCATTTTTGGAATGGAGAACTGTGGGTTTTCTCTCTTGCCCTGCCTCCCTGCACTTCCAATCCCTTGCTTCGCACTTGCACAGTGGATGGTTGCTGGTGTCCTGCCCGGCCCATCCTCATTCTTTCTGTGGTAGATACCACTTCCTTTCACTTTGTTATGTTTCACTCCACTGGGTAAGATACACTATTCTTACTTTTTGATTGCTGTTACTGTTAATTTGTTATTTTTATGTGTATGTGTGTGTGCCTGTCTGAGTTAATGGTACCATGTGCATGCAATGCTCAGGGAAGTCCGAAGAGTGCATCAGATCCCACAGACCTGGAGTTACAGTTGTTAGCCACCATGTGGGTGCTGGGAACTGAACCTGGGTCCTCTGCTGGAACAGCACATGCTATGAACTACTGAGCCATCTATCCAGCCCCTAACCTTTCTTTTTCCTTCTTTCTCTCTCTTTTTTTTTTTAAAAGCATGTAACTCTTAATTTTTTGTTTAATGAGGAACTCAGTTTATACTTTGTACAGAGGAGAATGTCTGAAATAGGGGATAATTTGTGTCCTAGTGAAGAAATAACAAAAATAAACTAATCACTTCTCAGAAAAGAACAAAAAAAAAATCAATATGGGTTTTTATCTAACTTTCCACTATTCCGGTGAGAAGTAAGAAACTCAGTGTTATAAGGACTATTTAATACATGAAGTGGAGCTAGAGAGATGGCTCAGTGGTTAAGGGCACTCACTACTTTTGCAGAGGACCCGGGTTCAATTCCCAGCACCCACATGGCATCTAACAATGTCGTAAACTCCAGTTCCAGGGTGTCTGATGCCCTCTTCTGGCCTTTGTGGGTACCAGACACGCATGTAGTACACATACCTACATGCAGGCAAAACACATACATAAAAAACACAAATAACAAATGTTTAGAAAAGCAAAGTAAGTAAGTAAATACATTCTACATGTGCCCATTTTTGTTTGGTGTCTTAGTAGTAGATAAACGTAAATGTCCTTGTATCCATGATTATAGAAGAAAAAAAGACCCTATGTATGTGATGTTCAGCTTAGTATGTCCTACCCGGAGCGGGGCTTTCATTGTTGTTTCTGAGAGTCTGCCTTTCTCTGTGAGAGCTGAGATGAAAATGAATCAGCCTTCTCTGACTGGAAGCACATTCGAAAGTCTGTACGTCTCTTGTCTCTGCAGAGCTGGGCAGAGCTGTAAGGAGCTACAGGGAATGGAGAGGGCTTGGGCTATGGTGTCTCCAAAAGGTCACACAGGAAGCTGATTGGCAGAGCTCACAAAACCATCAGAAGGGAGGAAGTTATTTTAAGTAAAACGCAGCACCATGCTAACAATGATGGTAAAATCTACAGCCTTAGAGTGTGTTCCTTAAAGAAACAAGGACATAATCTTATTTTCATGCAGTTTGACACAAACTTCTCTTTGAATCATTTTGCAATCAAACACAATAAAATTAACTTTTGGCTAATATACTTCCCTTTATTCGATTCTAAGGTGCAGTATCTTTTGCCTCAATCTCTGTCTGTCTCTCTCTCTCTCATATATCTTACGTATTTACACAGATGCAGTAGTTTGAAAGGTAATAGTGTTAGCATGTGTCATAATTTGTTATCTTCTGGGGGATAAAGAGAAAAGATTTGAATGCAACTGGTTCCATATGTTTGTTAAAACCGAGCTTAAAACTACTGGTAAATAAAGCTATGAATGTTATGGACCTCAGCCTAAACTGTATCTTTATTAGAATTTGACTTTTGTTTTTTAAAAATTTAATGCCAATTTATTTAATTTTTTTAATCATTTAAAAAATTTTTAATAACTACATTAGAAGAAGCATTTCACTACAGCTTTAACATATTCAGTAACACACTCCAGAGCAAGAGTATATCTCTTTCACAAGTGGGTGCAAGTTTCTAGGTTCACAGTTGAGTTAATACAGTTATACAATATTGAACTCAATATAAGCCCTGTAAGACATAAAATTGAATGAGTTTTTTAACCTTTAAAAAAGATCTCCATTTCATTTAGAATATATTGTACCTTGCAGAAAGACTCATTGTTTTTGCTACTAACACTGAGATGTTGGGATTTATACTTTTTAAAAAAATATTTTATTATTTTTATTTTATGTGTATGCGTGTATTGCCTGCATGTAAGTGCACCCGTGTTGTGCAATGCCCACGGAGGACAGAAGAGGCTGTCGGATGAATTTTCACAAGAAAAATTCATGCACGTTTTATACATTTTCTGGAATCTTTACAAAGGAGTGAAATATAAAGAAATGACCCAAGCATGATGCTTTTCTACATTTCAGACAAAGAATAATAAATTTGTGAAGGAATGACAGGACCAATGGCTATCTGGACCAGGGCATTAGATTCTAGGGCTGTTACTAAGAGATAGATGGGGACGGATGCAGAGGCTCAAGGAAGATAAGGATTATTTCAGAGTTTGTTTATTCAGGTTTACAGAATCCCCAATTACCAGTCCCCAGAGATCAAGGCCATCTTCTAGCATTGCTATGTAAAGTAGCCCCCCACTGCCAAAGAATCCTTATGCCTTACTGCGGTGTAGGAGGTGGTAAACCAATGCCCCTTTCTGAAGCTATAGTTCCTAAGTGACTTCAGAGTTAAACCCTCAATGTACTCATGTGGTATATCTGAGATGATCTTTAACTCTTTCATATTTACTGAGCTCCTACCACATATCAACACTGGGCACTTGCTGGCTAGGTAGAACACAGGGAACAAAGAACAGCCCTTTAGGCGCAAACACTCGAGAAGTCAGAAAATGACTGGGAGACACCGGGAGGGTGCTGTCAGGCTGGTCTGGACAGAGTCCTGCACAGCAGAGTGCTTCAAAGGAACAACCAGAGATAACAGTGGGCCTGCACCCAGTGGAGCAAAAATGTCCCTGCACACTGAGTATTTAGTACCAAGTAACATGAGTTTTTACACAAACTGCATTGCATGAAGAGTTGAATGCACATTTGTTTAGATTCTTCTAGAATAGAGATACTTAGTGGAAAAGGAACAGAAAGCCACGATTCTCCCTGAGGCTGATTTATGTTTGCCTAGTGTTTTGTGCCTGGGAGGCATGCATATATGTACCCACTATCTCTTTTCTGGTACTGCAAAAGAGGATTTATTATCAACACTTAGAAGTTTTCAACACACATTCTAAGGAGGATTCAGGCACAGCAAATCAAAACAGAAAATGGAGAATTAGAATTACAGAAAGCTGGGAAAAATTCTGCAGAGCTTTTTGCACACAATGGAAATGAGTCATTTTAAAATTATGTAGTTTTTATTAAGATAAAATCAGTTTATTTCCTTGAATTTATTTTTTACTTTGTTTTTTCACCCCCTTCCCCCTTATTAGGCTATTAGCTTTATGAGGGGGAGTCATCTCGGCTCACTGTTGGATCTGCAGCATCCAGTATCCAAATTTGAAGAAATACTTGTTGAATATGTCAACACTGAACTGCAGTACTAACAGGCCATATACATAATGTAGCATATTGTTCAAATGACAAGAGATTGGAGCCCCCCCCCCTTTTTTTTAATTACAAAGAAACTCCTATGATACAGCTAACTTCACAACAAACTTTTTAAATCTTACCTTAAAATTTTCAGCCTTGGTCAGTTTTTTTAAACCAACGTTTGGTCAAGATGTGACATTTTCATGGTAAAGTCAAAATGAATGAATTTCTTTTTAAAAATCAGCACCTCCTAATGAATAGAGACATACACATTTAATTCTGAATGCTACTTTTGAATTTTTTTTTTGTCTTTTTGACACAGGGTCTCCCTGTAGTCCCAGCTGGCCTAGAACTCACTATGTAGACCAGGCTAGCCTTGAACTCACAGAGATCCGCTTGCCTCTGCCTCTGCTGGGATTAAAAGCGTGCGCCACCATGCCTGGCTATTTTTTAATTTAATCTGCATTTTACTGGATGGGAAATTCTGTAAACGTTTGCAAATCTAAGCTGTGAAGGTGAGCAAGGGAAGGATAAAGGATACACTGGGATTTCAAGTCTTTTAAGAACTCTGAATCCTTAGACCCTCTTTTTCCTTCTCTCCCAGCCAAGTTTCTGGAAAAGCACGACCTAACCTTGGGAACCGGGTGAGGACAGGGTCCTTTTCTGCCCGGTTGGTGTGTCACTCAATGGTCTGACTCTGCCCCAGGCCCGCGCTGGCATCCAGCAGAGCTGTGGGCGTCGGGGTGACATCATCCTTATTCCGAAGGCTGGGATCCAGGGCGGCGGCGACCGAGGGCGGCGGCGGTCCGCAGGCTCAAGTTCACAAAGCAGCAGAGTTCTGCATCCCTGCCCGCCTCGCCGACGTCCCGGGAGCCCCCAGAGGCAGGACCGCCTGCAGGCAGTCCGGCTCCGCACCCCAGTTCCCGCCCGGAGCGGATACCTGACGTGCCCCGGGGCACCACGCCCCCCTTTCCCGGCCCCGCCCAGTCGCAGTCCGGAGCCCTCGGAAGCTTGTCCCTCGCGGCCCGCCGTAGCCCAGCGCTCAGCCGGCCGCCGTTCCCAAGATGGCCGCGGCGCGCACCGCTCCTGCGGCGGGCTGAAGGCGGAGGCGGAGCCGAGTCACTCCCGCACTCCGCAGCTCGGGTGCCCCCCTCCCGCCCTCCGGCGCCGGGCTGCAGCTGACTACCCGCCACGGCCATGCGGGGCTCTGTGCACGGATGAGAGAAGCTGCAGCCGAGCCGGTGTCCGCTCCCACCTTCGCCGTCACCCCTGCCGCCGCCATGGAGGAGCCGCCGCCGCCGCCGGATCCGGAGCCTGAGCCGGAGCGCTGCCCCGCGGCGAGGTGAGTGCACCGCTGCAGCGGCAGCTCGGGGCCAGTGGGACGCCGCGCCGGGGGGCGTGGGGTTGGCCGTCTTCTGAGCGCCGGGCGCCGAGCATCCTCTCCCGCGGCGGCCCCAGGGGCAGTCTGGGCTCCTCAGCAGAGCAACCCTGCAGCCGGGACCGAGCTCCCGAGCGGCCCCTGCAATTGGGGCCGGGCTCCCGAGCGCCTCTGTAACCTGGGCCGGGCTCCCGAGCTCCTCTGCAACCGGGACCGAGCTCCCGACCGGGGCCGAGCTCCCGAGCGACCCCAGCAACCGAGGCCGGGCTCCCGAGCGCCTCTGCAACCGGGACCGAGCTCCCTACCCGGGCTCCCGAGCGCCTCTGCAACCGGGGCCGAGCTCCCGAGCGACCCCTGCAACCGGGACCGAGCTCCCTACCCGGGCCGAGCTCCTGAGCGACCCCTGCAACCGGGACCGAGCTCCCGACCGGGGCCGAGTTCCTGAGCGATCCGTGGCACCGGGGCCAGACTCCCGAGCGCCCCTGCAACCGGGACCGATCTCCCGACCGGGGCCGAGCTCCCGAATGACCCCTACACTGGCCGAACCCCCAAGCAACCCTGCCTGGACTCCGCAGCACGGCCACCCTGCCCGGCCCACGCTCCACTGCTCTCCTCGGTGCTACTGGCCGGCCCTGCAGGCTTCCGCCGCCCGCCTTTGAGCCGAGTGCCGCGGCCTTGCCTGCCTGGAGTTGGGGGAGAGTGGTCGCTCCGACCTTCCTGGGGTCCCACCGGAGGTGTCCCCTTGGGTCCGCTCTGCTCCTTCACCCCCGCCCCCCGCCGCTTTAGGGAGAAGCCGCATTTGGATTGCAGAGGGTTCTCTGCTGAGGACCTTTTACTGCCCTTTAGCAGAGCCTGCTGCACGCGTGCATATGCACTAAGGGTTCATCTGTAGTCTGTGAAACTTTGCTACCGCTGGAAGCCCCAAATGGAGTTTGGGTTCCTGGAATAGCTGTTGGCATTCTGTTCCGTGTCAACTACTTCCATGTTTTTAATTCTTAATTGAGAGAATAAACAACGTGACTACGAATTTCCCTCTCCCGTGCCCTATGTCTCTGTAACAGATACCCTTTACCGCTTGTCCTTTGCATCCCAGAGTCAGTTTGCAGCCGGCTGCCGAGTCCTCTAATGAAAACACTCTCCAGTTCCTTCCATCTTACAGTCTGTGCTCTAGTGCTAGAAAAAGGCAGTTGCGTATCCTTGCCTTTCCTGCTTAAAGAAATGTCCAGTAACGGTATAGCTGTAGTGAGCTGTCTGTGGGAGCCTCGCCCGTCCATGCTGTCAACAACCCCCCCCCCTTGGCTGAGAGGAATTTTAGTTTTCAAAGCACTTAAGAAAGTCGTTGCTTCACGTTTCTTAACTCTAAGATAGTTCTGTGAACTTTAAAGGGACTTTAAAGAATGGTAGAGTGTTTTGAGAATTCCTTTTGAATTCATCAAATATTTTTTAGTTCTGTCAAGAAATTCATTATCAAGTTTGCTAATGTGTTGAGCTGTGTTGAGCAGTTGTGACTCCTTTGAGCGTTTTCTTAACAGCTGTGAGCATTTTATTTTAGTATTATTTAATGCTTAAAATGCTTTACACTAGCCAGCTACTTCTGTTAATTCATTTACTCTTAAAACAGCCTTATGAGTTAGCGCTATTGTCTCCTTTACGTAAGAGGAAACTGAGGCACAAAGGTTAAATATCTTGTATAAAGTTTCACAGCTGGTAATGAAGGAAGGTCTGGCTACATAGTTCGTGCCGTAATTATTACACAGAAGAGGGATGATTTCATGAACCACAGGCCCGAGGTTATAATTCTGTTTAAGTGCTTTTGGGGGAAGTGGACTTGAATGTTCTTAGGTCAAGGTGGGAAGGGCAGAGAGGTGGCACCTGCTGTAAAAATGCTTTTCCATCGATTAAAAAGCCTTGCTTTCTAGCCAGATTTCTGTCTCTTTGTTATAATAAAAATAGGTCAGGATGATGGGTTTCATCCAACTTTTAAGTGCACAGCAGTGCACAGAACAAGAAGATCTTGGAAATATTTTCCTTAGCAACATTGCAGTTAATTGTACAGTAGTAAAACAGACGACCTGGTAAAGCCCTTGTTTTGCCTTTTTGATGCACTAATCGCTGCTGCCTCCCCTCCTTCGCAGGAGGACCTCTGGCATCTTGCTGTGGACCTGCAGCAAGAGGTGTGGCAGGGTTCTCCAGTTGTCTCTACGCATTTCATTGTTTTAACCATTTGCAGGAAACTCAGTGTGCACATTCAGAATGTGTCCAAAGCCTCCTTTTAACACACTGAATACATTACTTAGCAGTGCCAGGTTAACTGGTTTTCCGACAGCAGACTAAAGCTCTCTGTTTGTCTGCACGTCTGTGTCATTGATGAGGAAGGCTGTGCACAGGTCTTTTTAGGATTCAGGTCTGTACATGTTGGCCGCCAAAGCTGTGTGGCAAGTGTACCACTGGCAGATGCCAGCTGCCCAGTACATCTGCTGTGGGTGCGCCTTGCTCCTGACTCTAGAGCATGAAATGATGCAGGAACACAAAATGGGTCGGGATGCTTATTGTCTGCCCTGGATACTTCTGGTCCTTATTTCTGCTAAGGAACTCATGATCAGGATTGCAGCTGTTCTAGGAATTAAGCATTTGAATACACATTCCTCCTACTTTTTCAAGCATCTGGGCCAGTTTTAGGAGGATCCTGAGGTTACTTAGGAGAACTCTTTGAATTAATTTGGTGCTATTTACCTTTGTGACGTGTGCTTTTTGAAAAACAGTAAGTCTGATATTAAGTCTGATACAATGTTCCTTCCTCTGGTGCCCTTTCCTGCCTGTAAAATAGTTACATTAAACACAGCCTCATTTCTCCCATTTAACTGACCTTCTAAGTACATGACAGCAAATCTCATAATCCCTTTTTGTAACCAGTGACTTTATGACTTACTTTATGTCATGTGGTTCTTTGAGTTCATTTGTGACAGTGGTCTTCATTTCTAAAAGGCATTTGAGTGTCCTTGATCCTGGGCAGCTTGGTATCTTTGTCCCTCCCTCCTTCCCTCCCTCCCTCCCAACTTGAATCCTCACCTTGAGCATTTGCTCTGGTCTAGGCCTCGGCAGCAAATGCCCTCTATTGTTCATCCTGCAGACTCCTGCTCTTTGGATGAGCCACTACAGCTCTAGGTACTTTTGCAGGATGAGCTTTAGACAGAGTAGCAGTCAGCTGGCAGCGGTGACAGAGGGCTGAGTGAGGGTGTGATGCTTCGGAGTGGCTCTGACTTGACTGTCCTGGTTCCTTTCATTGTGATTTTGTTAGAAGTTGCTTTACTTCCTTCCTGTGTAGACTCTTGGAACCTTGCAAATCATGTTTCAAGCTCTGTTGAAATTCTGGGATATAAAGATCTGGATACATTTACCTTAACAACTTCCTGATACTTAATGATTCCTCCCTGATTACCTTTTTACTCATTCCATTCTCCTGTCTCTTCCCATTAGACCAGGTGTTGTGGATTCTGCTTAATGACCATTTAATGGAGTTTATCAGTTTGTAGACTGTTGGAAATGGTTCTATTAAAGGGGAAATGGAAGTGATGTCAGGAAAGGAGATTGACAGTTCCAGGACCTCCTAGGCTGGCAACACCTTGGCAGGATGAGCGAATCCAGGTGCTGGGCCTCAGCTTCTTGGGCCAGCTCTCAGCTTGCTCGGACATCCATTAATTGGTTGGTGCAGAGTTTCCTCCTAGGAGCTCCTTCTCAGTCTTATTTGGGTGCTTTCTTCTTTTGCTTCTTGTTACAGGTTGCCCTTGGTTGTGTTATAGAATGTTTGTTTTTAATCTCTAGTCTTATTCTGATTAGATTGTGACAGACCTTGCTTTTCCTGCTCTAATTTGGGATGTATTGTATCCTTAGCGATATTTATTTAGGAAAGACCTCAATGGCAGGGTAAAGTTTTTGCTCTCTTCATAATCCTGCCATCTCCTAGAGGCCTTTGGTATAGTTTCTGAGAAGGTGTACAGGGATGTCAGTGATTGATGCTTTTGTAAGATTCTTTTTGAGTATTGTATTCATAACAGATCTCAATGATGATATGTGGTTTTTCTGGATTTAAGTCAAAGTTTAAAAGTTAATTAGAATTCTGCGTGGCTATTAAAAGCTATGTTGCTAAAGGACATTTAGTGATGGGGAAAAAGCCCACAGTACAAGTCTTGGTGGGACTTGGGCATCTATTTTTGTTAGCCACTATGTGGGTACTGGGAACAGAACCCAGGTCCTCTGCAAGAGCAGCTGGTGCTCTTAACCGCTCAACCATCTCTCCAGCCCCTTGAGCATCTGTTTTAAAGAAGATTCTCACTGGATGTGGTAGCGCATGGCTTTAACCCCAGCACTCGGGAGGCAGACGCAGGCGGATCTCTGTGAGTTCAAGGTCAGCCTGGTCTACATAGTGAGATTCAGGACAACTGGGTCTGCAGGGAGACCCTGTCTGAAAAAAGACCAAAATAATAATAATAATAGTAATAACAGTAATAACAATAATAATAAAAAGATGATTCTCAAACACCTCACAGTATTGTGTACCCACCTCTGTGTTCAGTACAGGAAGCAGATTAACAACAGGATCTGTGCAGAATGGTAGTCCAGCTCAGCTCCTCTGGATTTCTCTACCAGCCCTGTCTGTCCTCCTTCCCTGACTCCTGCTTGGAAACATCATCTGTCTGCTCCAGCTCGTGGTACACCTTGAGCTGCCTTCTTGCAGAGTCCTGTGTGTAGGAATATACTTGGACAGACTACATGGCCTGCAGGTTCTTTCCCACAACTTGTCATATTGGAGTCAGAGGAAGGACGTCCTTCTTTCATAACTGTAACGTATCTGGTGAAGCTGAGCAAAGTGCTAGTTCCAAAAGCGGTGGCCAGTCTCACAGAGATGTTATTCAGGCTCATATGGTGGTGTGAATCCATAGTGGTGTGAGCCTGCAGTGGTGTGA